GATTCAACGCGCGCTTTGTTGCATAATTCGATGCGCGCTTCAAAACGCGCTTCCGCGTCGGAATGAATGCCGTACGCGCTTCATACAGCGCGATTCGCACAGCTCTAAACCCGCAATTCGACGCGCAATCCAACGTACAATTAGCCGCGGAATTCGACGCGCACTTTAGCGCATAATTCGCACCTGAACACGCATTTCAAGTCCGCGTCGGAAGGATTGCCGTACACGCTTTATACAGCACAATTTCCGCTTGTAACCTTTGATCATTCTCGTAATTCTCCTTGAAATACGCTCGCGCTTTTTGCTCTTCCTATTGAGTTTCCGCTTATTCCGCGCTTCCGCGTCGGAATGAATGCCGTACACGCTTCATACAGCGCGATTCGCATAGCTCTAAACGCGCAATTCGACATGCAATTCAACGTACAATCAGCCGCGGGATTCAACGCGCGCTTTGTTGCACAATTCGATGCGTGCTTCAAAACGCGCTTCCGCGTCGGAATGAATGCCGTACGCGCTTTATACAGCGCGCTTCGCGCAGCTCTAAACACGCAATTCGACGCGCAATTCAACGTACAATTAGCCGCGGAATTCGACGCGCACTTTAGCGCATAATTCGATGCGCGCTTCATATGAATGCCGTACGCGCTTCATACAGCACGATGAATCTAGACCGCTGACTAGAAGAAATGCGCAATTCGATGCACAATTCAATGTACAATTAGCCGCGGAATTCGACGCGCGCTTTAGCGCATAATTTGATGCGCGTTTCAAAACGCGCTTCCGCGTCGGAATGAATGCCGTACACGCTTCATACAGCGCGATTCGCATAGCTCTAAACGCGCAATTAGACATGCAATTCAACGTACAATCAGCCGCGGGATTCAACGCGCGCTTTGTTGCATAATTCGATGCGCGCTTCAAAACGCGCTTCCGCGTCGGAATGAATGCCGTACGCGCTTCATACAGCGCGATTCGCACAGCTCTAAACCCGCAATTCGACGCGCAATCCAACGTACAATTAGCCGCGGAATTCGACGCGCACTTTAGCGCATACTTCGCACCTGAACACGCATTTCAAGTCCGCGTCGGAAGGATTGCCGTACACGCTTTATACAGCACAATTTCCGCTTGTAACCTTTGATCATTCTCGTAATTCTCCTTGAAATACGCTCGCGCTTTTTGCTCTTCCTATTGAGTTTCCGCTTATTTCGCAACTTTCCTTAACACCAAACTTCGCACACGTGTTCGCCTCGTTAGGTCGTTAGGTCTTTATGGCAGATCGGCCTCCTTCGAAGCGGCTTCGGCTTGGTTCGCTTGCAGACGGCATCCGTTGTGGGAGAACACGTCCGTTTAGTGATTTGTGCACTGACCAAGCACCTCAGCAGCGGCAGCATGCTGCATCACAGCAGACAGCCGCGCCAGCTAATTCAACAGGGTCCGCAGAGGGCCAGCAAGCGGTTGCTGCTGTTGACACACCGCTGGAGGAGCAGCAACAGGCTGCTGAACCTTCTGCTGCGGAATTACGGGCTAAATGGCGCCGGCAGAAAGCTGCACAGCGTGCCGCAGCCCCTCCTGAGTTGCGGGTGTTGCAGCGCCAGCAGGATGCTGCACGGCATGCAGCTGCACGTGCCGACCCGGAGGTGGGGGCGCAGCTGCGGCTGTATAACACTGCACATCACGCGGCTGCTCGTACCGACCCGGAGGTGAGGGCACAGCAACGGCTGCATGACACTGCACAGCATGCCGCTGCCCGTGCTGCTCCGGAGGTGAGGGTGCAGGAGCAGCTGTGAAACACTGCGCAGCGTGCCGTTGCCCGTGCTAATCCGGAGGTGAGGGTGCAGGAGCAGCTGCGGAACACTGCGCAGCATGCCGTTGCCCGTGCTAATCCGGAGGTGAGGATGCAGGAGCAGCTGCGGAACACGGCACAGCATGCGGCTGCACGGCAGGTGCAGCAGCATGACCAGCAGGCCGCCCCTAGGGATACAATATTGACTCGCATGCACCGTCTCTTGCGGTTCGCGGACCTTCATCGTGACGACGCCGTTGACTTGCCAGAATTTCTTTTGGCGATTCCAGAGGGCCGCATGCAGGACCTTCCTGGCGGTCAGTTACCGCCTGACAGGCAGGTACCGTACACCGTGCAGCTGCAGTGTGCATCGACCATGGCTGCTGCCTTGCGCCGGCGCATGCCCTCCCGTGTCTGTGCTGTGTGCTCTGAGGTGTGCTCGGAGGACCAGTCGACGGTGCTGCACTGGATAGAGATTCCCAACGTG